ACTTGAGAAGCTGATGCAAAAGAATTCCTTAAGCCCGAGAGTTTGAGGTTGCTGTGAGCTGTGATGCCACGGCACTATACCCAGAGCGACGTAGTACTCTGTCTCAAAAAAAAAAAAAAAAAAAAGCTAGAATTCAGAAACTCCACCTCACAAGCTGTCTCAGGCCTCACCAGGTTTGAATAGATAATTATGAAATCAGTGTTTCTGACCAATCATTAATCTTAAGAATTTCAACTTAAAATTGCTTTGTTCTGGAATGGTAGAATGTGAATCCCAGAACAAAGCCATATTCTTTCAGACTACATGAACCCAGAAGTTTCAAAGATCCACCCTTTTTTTAGCACTTGATACTGGTGAAAAGCTTTAGCTTTCAGTTGTTCTGATTTAAGTGTCAGAAACAGTGACACGTAAGTTTCATCTCGGGAACGAATTACACACAATTGTGTAAGTGACATGCAGCCATCATACCCCAGTGTTATGGCCTGTGCTGGTTCTTTGACCTGTTGGTACAGTAGGTGGTAGATGGGGAGGGGAATGATGTGCAGTATTAATTCTTAGTGATTTGTCAACCCTGTCTCTCAGACTGCAATGGAATTCTTCATGGAATTTACAAGGGGAAGGGGAAAGAGAAAGAGTGGTAAATTTTGCTTTGCTATCTTTACATTAAATCTGGCATCAAATCTTACCCAAAAGGTGTATATAAAAAAAAATCACACAAGTTGTGTGGAAACATTGGCTGAAAGAATATGGCTAGGTCATCATCGTTACGTGCTTCCTATGTGGCCAGCATTGAGCTACCGCAGTGGTTCTCAAACTTAATCTCAGGACCCCTCACACTCTTGAAAAAATACTTAAAGACCATTTCCATTTACGTAGATTCTATCTATTAATATTTACCATATTATGGCTCTGTGCCTGTAGCACATTGGTTAAGGTGCCAGCCGCATGCGCCGAGCCTGGCGGGTTCAAGCCCAGCCCGGGCCAGCTAAACAACAGTGATAACTGCAACAAAAAAATAACCGGGCGTTGTGGCAGGCACCTGTAATCCCAGCTGCTCGGGAAGCTGAGGCAAGAGAATCGCTTCAGCCCAAGAGTTTGAGGTTGCTGTGAGCTGTGACACCACAGCACTCTACTAAGGGCAACAAAGTGAGACTCTGTCTCTAAAAAAAAAAAGAAAGAAAGAAAACTCCAGTTTC